ATTTCACTCTTGACTATATCCTTCCTTATTTTGTATCTCATATGTAAGCCTTAGTTCCCTACTAGATGAAGTCCCTAAGGGCAGAAACTGAGTCACCTTTCCTGTATCCCACAAGAATGACACAGTGCTGGACAGCTGGTAGACATTCAGGAAGTGTTTGTTGACGTGACCTTGCTTAGCAATGTCTTCTGTCTGTCTACACCCCTCTTATGAGAACAGGATTATGTCCCACCACATAGGAATCTGAAAGCTTCCTGGTAACTTATTTTCCAGTCAAACCATGGGAAAGTTTTACCATCTTCAAATCACTTTGCTTTCTAATTAGTTTCTGGGCCCATCTTTAGCCATTTTATTATTTATGCCTTTGTAGGTGTCATTAAGACTGCTGCTGGCACTGAGATAACTTTGTAGTCTCCCTTTTTAAATTAAAATCTTAGCTTTCTGATATTACTTAGATTAGCTGGAGGTCCTTTATACTTAACCTTTCCATCTGCATATTTAAATATATTTAATGATTTTTTCAGTGGCTTTGTGTTAAGCATATCTAATTAAGGTATCCTACCTACACTCTATACATTTTATTTCAAGCTCTAATGATATGCTAGCATTCGATTATCATTTGGGGGGAAACTTGAAATCCTTAAAGGTCTGAGTGTATAAGAACATTAAGTACAGATTAAGGAACTGGTATGACTTTATATATGTATAATTGCTCAAATTTATAATAATTAGCTTTTAAGTCTTCTTTGAGTAGCAGGCATATGGATGGTCCAGAGAGTACTTATTACCAATAATATTATTCTTCAATTTGAATAGAGTTTTAACACTGTTTTTATCCCCACAAGGGTACTCTTGATCTGTAAGGAGTATGAGATGTTATAGCCACTCTGTTTTATCTGTGAGAAATGGAGGCCTGGAGTAGTTGGGTTACTTTCCCAAAGACATAAATATTTAATGGCAGAGCTGGTGTAAGAACCGAGATCTTCTGTTTCTGATGAGTTTTTTTCAAATCTTGGTGAGAATTGTAGTTCAAAAAAACAGTCCTGGCCATCAGCTGTTTTCTGCCATCCAACACTCAGTTGATCATTCCACATTCCATGTCAGAATACTTTCCACTGACCCCAAGTACACTCTGTTTCCTTTACAGTTTGAACGCCACGACCCTGTGGACGGGAGAATCACTGAGAGGCAGTTTGGTGGCATGCTGCTGGCCTACAGTGGGGTGCAGTCCAAGAAGCTGACTGCCATGCAGAAGCAGCTCAAGAAGCACTTCAAAGAGGGAAAGGTAGGTGTCTTTGCCGAGAAGAAGAAGAAGAACCAAACCGTGGGAACACATGGTGTCATGAATCAAAGATAGGCAGTTGGATATTTAAATCCACTTTAGAGGACTGAGATGGATTTGGGCTTCATCAACACACTGTTAGAGTTACAACCAGGAGGATGGATGAGATTACCCAAGGAGAGCATAATACAGAAAAGAACTGCAGGCCAAGGACGAAATCCAGTGGAACACTGACATTTAAGCCACTCAGGAAGGAAACCTTGAGGAAATGTTTAGAGAAATACCTAGAGAAAGGAGTGGAATCAAAGCCAAGGGAGTACAGGATTCAGGAACTGAGGGTTCTACAATGTGACACGTGACAGAGAGGGCCCAGCAAAGTAACATGATAAACATCCAATGGTTTTTGTAAAATTGTAATAGGGGTGGCCTTTGGGAAAGCTGTCTAATTAGAGTGGTCAGTTAGAGGGCATATTAGAATGAGAAGTAAGAAATTAGAGAGAGAGAAGTGGGGAAGAAAAGGAGGAAGATGGGAGAGGAGGCTCTAGAAAGAAGGGAATAGCATATGTTAAAAACTCAGGCAATGTATAAGTCTGCTTGTTCTGCTATAACAGAATACCACAGGCTGGGTGGTGTAAACCACAGAAATTTATTTTCTCACCGTTCTGGAGGCTAGAAGTTCATGATGAAGGTGCTGGTAAATTAGGTTTATAATGAGGGCTCTCTTTCTCGGCCTGTAGCCACCTGTCTTCTTGCTGTGTCCTCACGTGGACTTTGCTTGGTGTTTGCACAGGGGTGGGGGGAGGAGCACAAAGCTACCTCTCTGATGCATCTTCTTACAAGGACACTAATCATATTGGATCAGAGCTCCACCCCTAGGACCTCATTCAACCTTAATTATTTACTTTGAGGCCCTATTTCCTAATACAGCCACACTGCTGGGGGGTTAGAGCTTTAATGTGTAAGTTTTGGGGAGACACAAACATTCACTCCATAATAGGCACGAAAGACAAATTTATTACGTGTGAGGAACTGAAGAGGACTGCTGTGGCTGGAGCATACTAGCAAGGGGGAGAATGGCCTGAGATGAGGTCAGAGAGGGAGATGGGGCCAGAAGATTCCGAACCTTGTAGGCATGGAATGAGTTTGGGTTTTATTCACAGTGCAGTGGGAAGCTATTGCCGGGTCATGCGCAGCAATGAAATGGTTGTATGTATGTTTAAAGAGATGAATGACTCTGGCTGCTTTATGAAAAATAGTTGGGAAAAGGCTGAAAAAGCAAAAAGACTGATATTAAGATTATTAGAGAATTCAGGAAGAGGTGATCAAGCATTTTTTTGAGCAGCAATGAGACTGGAGGCCATGGGTTGGCAATGGCACTAGTCAACACTACTCATACCTTTCAACACTGGCTGCATCTGGTGCAGGAAGAGGCAGATGGTAGAACTGAGTGAGCATCTGGGGTTTTGCCAGGGAGTGGGATGCACTAACTGAAGCAGAAATTAGTTAAGAGGCCAGACCTCTTAAAGATCACACACACAAAGCAATGCCAGCAAACCCATGTCTTCTCCTTCTCAACCCAATACCTTTTCCACTTGACAATGATTACCACTTGACCATGACCAGCAAACTGACCTGGCACTAAAAATGTTCCATGAGAGATTGCCAAGGCAGTGTGGTATGGTAGACATAGAGCTAGCTGGAAGACAAATTATTTAACCTTATTGGCCTCATGAATTGAGAAGCTTGTCCTAGATGTGTGTGATAAGAGTGCTATAACTTTAAAGACTCAATAACTAAAAATAAGAAATAGGATTACTAGTACTTGTCTCAGTTTTCTTTGTTAGTAGTCTCTGCAGGAAATCTGGCATGAATAACATTGCCCCAAATTGGAGGAAAGCAATTTTTATCACCCAGATGTTTTTCTCCCGGTCTTAGATGTTGAAAAGCTTATAAGACCTCTGAACCAGGCTGTGGACTGCAGCTGAGGGCAGGCTGGGCTCTGAGAGAAAGTGTCAGCTTCTTGGAACTCAGGCCAGCTTGTTCCTACAGCAGGTGTTCCCTTGGCTGTGTGGGAAAGGCGTGTCATTAACTCAGAGTGACAAAGAACAATACTTCTGGCTTACCCGATACCAGCTCAGATCTGTTGAATATTATAATTTCAGATAATTGATTGCAAATGTTTAGTCTGATTTTTTAACCCTGATGTGGGAAGCATAATGTTTGCATTACGAACCACTCCTTTCTTTTCTTTTTTTTTTTTTTTTTAAGATTTTATTGGGGAATTGCAGGGAGAGAACAGCTTTGGGAAATTGGGGAAGGGGAACAGACAAGTTGCTGTCCTTTTGTTCTTCAGTCTAGTTGTGGAGGACGTCACTTCACTGGCCCAAGTTGGCACCATCATTGCACTCTTCCCTGGCGAGGCAGATCAGTCGCCGGCTTCTGGACGGCCACTCACGGCGGCTGCTGGCCGCTCACACTGGCTGCTGGCTACACATGGTAGCCCATGGCAACCCACTGCCACAGAGGCTGCAGCCTGTGCCATCACCAGCGACTCATGGCAGCCCAGCTCCAGGTTGAGCTGTTGTTCAGCATCTTAGCTGTGGAGGGCAGTGTCACTGGCCCTCTATGTGGGATCCGAACCAGGGTCCTCTGGCGTCCCAAGCCAGCTCTTAACCAACACGCCACTTCCCTGGCCCAACACTCCTTTCTTTTGACCAGACCTATGTTTAAAGTTTGGTCCAGACGTTGACTTGACCTTGAAATAATTATCTATCATGACAGGCTAATTCATGTTTTATTATGAATTTATATTTAAAAGCAATAAATTGGGTGTTGGAGACATCTCCCTTGAAGGAAGAGAGTATTTCAGCATTGGCAGGAGTTATTATAATTTAGGACCTGAAGACCTTTCAAAAGAGCTCTGAAGTGAAAGGACAAATTTTGTCAGATGATGAAAATCTAGAATGCTAAATTCTTCCTGGTCCAGAATTTCTAGCCTGCTTTAGCAAGGAGATTGAGATTGATTGTTCTCTCGTGTTGATTAAATAGTTCATGAACACAGTAATTAACTAAAATGAGAGTTAATGAAGGGCCTTTGCTTCTAAAGTTACCAGTCCATCTCTCTTGGACCATTTCTCATTAAAGGGGAATCACCATCATTTTTAATTGCATTTTTATTTCGTTTTGAATTTGTTAACATGAAATACAAGTTTTCATTTGGCTCATGTTAACATTTTCTGTGTGCGGTTCTGTACAAAATACCAAAGCAATTTTATATCCCACATATAAAACTGAAACCAACAAACAAACCAAAAAGCATAAACACAAACAACAATTTAGTGGTTACCAGAGGGTAAGGGAGGTGGTGGTAGAAGAGTATAAAGGGGGTCAAATATATGGTGATGGAAGGAGAACTGACTCCGGGGGTGAACACACAATGTGATATATAGATGATGCATGACAGAATTGTACATTTGAAACCTATGTAATTTTACTAATCAATGTCACCCCAATACATTTAATGAAAATTAAAAACTATCTACCTATATCAAACCAGATCTAAAAGATTGAAGGTGCTAGAGGTATATTACATAAATATTTGCATAATACTAAATGACTATGCAGTGCTTCACAGCCATTTTTCTTTTTGTGTTTCTAACAGCCTTGTTACATCTCAGTTTGCCTTTGAGAATATAGAGACAGAGAAAAAGAGAAATTAATGACCCACTCAGAGTTTGGACTAAAATCCAGTGCTTCCTATTCCAGATCTTGTCCTTTCCATGGCAAAGTTCTATTTCTATTTCTAACCATACTCTTCCTCTAAAGCAGTGCTTCCCAACCCTGGTCTCCCAGTAGGATCCTGTGGGGAATTTTTAAGAAGCATGGTTGGTGGGACCTGCTTCAAACCAAGCAAATCAGAAGCTCAGTGGGTGGGTCCAGGCATCAGCCTTTCTTCGAAGGCTCCGCATGTGACTCTGATGTGCAGTTACACCTGTGAGCCGCTCCCTGCCCTGGAGGAGCCCTGTTCTTCAGTGTCTCTAGCTGTTTTGTCCCTCAGTAAAAGCTTGAAGAATGGGGGAACCTGCCATTCCTGGAAAAATTATCCATGCCCTGAGTAACCGCCATGTTTCTTATTTAACAAAGACAGAGTTTTCTTTTCTTTTTTTTAATGGGGGAACATGTTTTGTTTTGGCTTTATTTTAAAGATTAGTCCCTATCCTCTAACCTCTAAACCAGAGTTTCCCCATTCCCCTCAATATTCTTTTTCCTGTGAATTCTTCTTCTAGGCCAAATCTGACTCAGCTCTAGAATTTCCTTTTCATCTTCCAAATTGTCATCTTCTCCTCATTAAAAAGAAAAACAGAGTTTTTTCAGACTTCATAAATGTAATTCACAGTGGTGGTTCTCTATGCTTAAGAGTGCAGAAGCTGCAGACTTTAATAATTTAGCAAATTCATTTAAGGATGAATTGAAAATTACAGTTCAGTTTAATGGCAGACATGGCTACATGCAAGACACTAAGCCAAGTGCTGTATAAAAGATAAGAGATAAACAAAAACCATCACTTATCCTCAAGAAATATATAGTCTGTTCCAGTCTAGTAAGAAAAAATATGTATGCGAAGAAATACATAATTTCATATTCAGTATTTATTGGGCATCTGCTTTGTGCCAAGCTCTTCTAAATATTGGGACTACAATAAAGAACAAAACCAAGTCTGCCTTCATGAACTTAACATTCCTCGTGAAGGGAGACAAATAATAAATAATTATAATACAAAGCAATTCACTCAGCTTTGAGCCTCTAGAGAGCAGTGTCTTAGTCATCATTGTCATCCTCAGTATAGTAAGTATCTCATGGGCAAATGTTTGTCAAATGCATTGATAAATATGTTAAGTACTTAAATAAAGATTTGCGATCTTTTGGAGGCACCAATGAGAAAGATCAGAATCAACTGAAGAGACTAAGAGTTCTTGGAGGAGGTACAATTTGAACTTGGCCTT